TTGAATATGCTAAGACATCCTATTCTGTTTGTAAATTATGTAAATTCAGACATTACAATTTGAATATTTCTTATATGGTAAATTGCTCACAATCTACACATAAAGCATTTTAAGGCATTATATCTCATAGTTATTTGACATGGTCGTCTACTTAGGATTACAACAAATAAATTGAATATGAGAAAATAATAAAAAAATATTTCAAAGTACTGAAATAAACTGTTTTGTAATTTCAGTAACATGTAACCATAGAAACATAAACAATTAAAAGCATTTTAATTGTAAACTAGTATCTTTGATTATTAGTAATGCAAATCTCTCATGTTAAGTGTAAAATGGGGTTATTTCCAGTATAATTTTAACTATAAATAGCCTCTACTGGAAAAGAAAGGTGATAATCCATGTAATGGCGGCCATTTTAAAAAATGGCTGCCATGGCAACCATCTTGGCATATATAAAATGGGTCCCATGCCCAAAATGTTTCTTTTGCCTTTATTAACATCTGTGCCAAGTTTCATGCTTTTCCCATTTTCTGAAGTATTTTAGCATATTTTGTTACAAATTGACTGGACTACAATTGTCGTAAAAAGTAACGCCGAATCTGTTCAACGGTATTGCCAAACGAATAACACAGTAAGTAAACGAACCAAAATATTTTATTCTAAATCAAATTTAAAGAAATTAAATAGCGCATACGGCTGCTACTACATTATACTTTTACCAGCATTTCATTTTTTGCCAGGAATTTGTTTACTTTTTTAGATCATTCGTGAGAAAGACAACCTGATTATTGTTTGAAGGTGTTTCGTCAAATAAATATGACCCGTGTCACGAAAAAACCAACATAGTGCGTTTGCGACCAGCATGGATCCAGACCAGCCTGCGCATCCGCGCAGTCTGATCAGGATCCATGCTGTCCACTATCAGTTTCTCTACTTGTTTATTTGTAAGCGAACAGCATGGATCCTGATCAGACTGCGCGGATTCGCAGGCTGGTCTGGATCCAGGCTGGTCGCAAACCCATTATGTTGGTTTTGTCATGACGCGGCTCATATAAACAGTTAACGCAGTCATTTAAAACATTATTTTTTCATATTCTGTATACCTTACAGATTTGTCAAACTACAAGTGTCGTATAACAATAGTAGGTAGCTTCAGTGCTTCATTCACGAATGTGGCGTTACCTCGTAAAAATGGTCTCAATTACGGTTTATCTGCTAAATGTAATGTTATATGACACAAGTAGATTGGAAAATGTCTCAGGTACACCGAATATAAAAAAATATAAAGTTATATGTACGTTATATGTATTTAAAGATATCAACGAAACTTAAAATCGCCATCAATACGATAGTCATGTGTCATTTTCAAGAATGATCTTGAAAAATAAACATTATCATGGAAATATTTTTGATGAGGTTTAAAGAATAATGTCCCAGCAACCGTATGCTGTAACTCCTTTCTTCCATTTTTATTTGTGTACAATAAAAAATATTGGTTCATTTACTTATCGCGGTGCTCGATTTAGCTACTAAATTGCACAATTCTGCGTTACTTTTGCACAATTCCTGCGTTATTTGCACATTCCTGAGTTACTGGATATACTCGGTGATAAGGATCTGATCAAACAATTATTTCTACATAAAATGCCTTCGTTTTGAGTCAAAGACATCATGTTTGATAAAAAATTATAATCATGTCCGATGTCAAGAATTAGATAGAATATATGAATGCGTATATGTTTGTTTCTCGCTTTGATATGTCATAACTATACATACGTATTTACTTCTTTGTTATGTCAAAACAATTTCTGGAAGGAAGAACAAGAGAAAACCTAAATGACCTCTTATAAACACATTTAAATACAAATAGGGATTATGAATACCAATCACTGATATTAAATTCACAGATGAAAAGCTTTTAAAACTTCAGAAAAAAAAAACAAAAACAAAAACAAAACAAAAAACAAACGAACAAAACGACCATTCAAAAAAAAAAACCTAGAAAGAAACGGTTAAGGCTAAGTGTGTAAATTACAAAGCTGATAATGTTTCTTTGAACATTTTTTAAAGCAAATATATTGAATAACAAAGATAAGCAAGAAACAACTTGCATCAAATGTTAATAGCAGTCAGAAATTATACTATGATGTTTAAGAAAACCAATGATGTAGATGATGAAAGTCCATTAACATCGACCATGCCGATGATTAGAAGAGAAGTTATCTTTTTGTTGGACAATAAAGGATGCAATGGTTATGATGTGATGTAATGATGATGGTGATGAGGACGTCAACAATAATTATAATAATTCACGAGCATTATTTTACTGAGAAGGATGATGAGGATAGCATATTTCCTGTTATAATGATGATGAAATTTATTAAGATTTAAATTAAATTGTGATGATGAAACCGATGATGATAGTTAAAATCAGTAAGTAGCATAGAAGTACATTCCTGAAGTTCTCTTTGACTCAATAAAAGACGTGTTTTGATAACAATGAATTACACATATGTTAGTTTCTTGTAAGTGGGTATCCGAAATAACCAAATATTACTAAAAGAACATATATGCCATTGAACAGAGTAAGAAGGTTTGTTGTCATGACAGTATAATAATCAATTATAGGTATTGGAAAGCTATGTGTAACAGCGCCACGGATAAACGTGGGACATATATAGAAACATATGTTCTTGTTTTGTTAATGTAATGCCAGTGTGATTATTAATTAAATGCCTTTATATTTTGGTGGATTAAAACATCCAAAATTTGTAAAATTATCTTTATTTATTATTATCATTATTTGTTCAACAGACGGGCCTCTACATGATTTTTTATTGAACGTTGTTAATGTCATTAAATCATGTCATATTTTATTGTAGCTTGTAAATTGTGCTACTTAAAACAGTCACAAATGTCCTATTAAACATGGTAAATAATACTTTTACTTGTCAATCATATAATTTATCAATATTTCATTACACTTAAAACCATTTCGAATCTGACTGTACAAAAAACTGCCATAACTTTATTTATTTCTAATATTTACACAGCACCACCATTGTAATTGGTTTAAGTCAATATAATAAAGATAGATACTGCCTATATAAAGATAATTCAATCTTGTTTAAAATATGGATCTGTTTTGAAATTGCACACTGAATTGGCATGTGGTACAGAACAAAATATTATATGTCAGAACTGTAAATATGTTAACGCTTTACAACAATATCTTTGCTTCCTGACAGAACTAAACGATCCTAACGCCATTGCGAGCGCCGAGTTTTGGTAAATCTGTTCCCCATTGGTTAGTTCCTTTGCAGAGACGCTTTTGTACACCTCGCAGTGGTTACTTCCCTTGATCAGCAAAGCCGACCTCTTGCACAACAGCTTGCATTCCGCTCTGCAAAGACTGGAAAATGGAAACGTCCAAAACGCTTGGATAGTAATATATACGCGTTCAGATATACTTTGCTTTAATAAATAACAGAGCAAAGTCCTGGTGTATAAGGTGACCATCTTTTTCTTTTCTGTGAAGGTAAAAGTATCTGTGAACAGTGCACGTGATACGAAACCAATTCGTAAGCCTTCGTTTTTTATGATATTAAAACATTCACTTTCGACTTAACTTTCCATAACTGTCAGTCATTTGGGAAAGAGACTGGGACAAAAGTACATGTATCTTCAAAATTTACAAAATTGTGCATAAAACTTCTTGCACACTTTTTCTTCTTTAAGCGATGACTGGTTTACCGTACCTTGTTTGCTAATCATTTACACGTCTCTGATGCTCCAACTAATAAATCATAGGTTCTCTAGCTACCTGTTATCATTTCAGATAATCGACATTTGTTATAAATTATTTTTAGAAGATATATAACACACTGTACATGATTCAAGAGGTGTGGGACCAATTGAGCAAAAAGCTTTCTGTGTCAACACTTTATCAGCTGACACTGACGTTACAACAGCACTATAAGCAGGTTCTTTCGTCGTAAGACGGGCTTCTTGCTAAATTAAATTCTTCAAAGCAACAACAATACTTTTGATGCCAGTAGTTATTGGGCTGACCAGATCTCGGTGTTATCTTTTTAGAAAGCTGTATTTTTAAATTTCTTATGCCACGTAAACATCGAAACCACGTCTTTCTTATATAATTTACCATGTATCTTTCTTTGAAGCTATAAAATAGTAAGGCATTTATTGTAGGCCTTTATTTGAATACATATTATACAGAGTAACATAACATAAAAAAATATCTAGTTTATCTTACAACTGCAACTATTTTAATTGGCACAACTTGAGAAATACATAATGAAAACGGAATGAATATTACAAATTACAATACTTGCAAGATAGTAGTAGCTTACTACATAAAATGTTGTTTGGACTTAATACATAAAACTTGCAAATTGGACGTGTAATTTACTTTTAGGAGAGACAAAATTAAATTGGTTTATTCTAAAACTGTAATCTGTGGGTCAAGAAATTTTAGAGAAGATGCTTCTAATTTTTAATTATTGTAACCGAGGGCTGGGACAGTTATAATCTCAGAGAAATTCTTCCGGGGCTTGAAGATTTTTAAATTTCCATTGACCTTCTTATGCATCATGTTATGGCTATGGCATATGGCATCTGTAGAAGGTTACCTAATGAGCATTGCTTTGAAGTATTGCCGAAATCTAAACGGTATTTAGGAGGAAACATTGTTAAAAGAATATTGTGAATAGCGACAATTGTTATAATTTAATCAATCCAAAAAGTATCATTAATGAATATATCGTCTTGAATGTAAAGGCGTATATTAAGGATCTTTTTAATGCATGAATCAATTATTATTATTTAAATACCTGTTTAAATGTTTTACATATACATGCACTAAAAGGTCCTCAGCAAAATTATTTAAACACGGCACGCAGTTTATGCACCTCCCTGTAAGATAAGAAATGATGTTGTGTCAATGCAATAACTCATGACTTGTTTTTTCCATACCTGTTAAATACTAGACGCAAACTCTTTGATGATAGTACATTTTAAAAATGACTAAATTGAGTCTTAGAATATTTTTTCCTGTGTGTTTATTCAGTCTCTTGACATTGATACTGTTTAAAAATCCTGCATGGAAATTAGTTAAATTTACTGAAGACAAAAAACATGATGTTGATTACGAAGATCTAATTAACAAGAACGCTAATAATGCTAAAAGTAATGCATTAAGTAAGGTTACAGATAGAAAAAGTTTTGATCTACGTATCATTGTACTAGTATATGACAGAGCTAAGTCTCTTCAACGACTTCTAAACTCTTTAAATGAAGCGGAATATGCCTCCGATATTATCAAACTCGAGATTTGGATTGACAGGTCAGAATATGGAAACGTTGATAACATCACTTTGCAAGCGGCAATAAACTTTAATTATCTACATGGCGATTTTGAGGTCATTGTCCATCAACACCATGTAGGTATCGTAGGACAATGGCTTACCACTTGGAAGCCGAATATAAACAGCAACGAAATTGTTGTTTTTCTCGAAGACGACGTTACTGTTTCAAAATATTTCTGGAAATATTTGAAAATGGTTCATCGGAAATTTGATAATCGTTCAGATATAAATGGATTTTCGTTGCAAGGTTACTCTAGAACATTTAGTTTAAAACACAAAGTTACAACGTTACGGGGACCAAAAGATTATACAGTATTTCTTTTTCCTGTCCTTGGTTCATGGGGATTTTCACCAAGTACAAAAAACTGGAAGCAATTTTTGGACTGGTTTTATTCTGAGGATAAATCTTCGTTTAACCCTTATGCTCCTGGAAATATAGCATCGAATTGGTATAAAACTTTTTCCAGTCAAGGAAAGGCAAACACAATGTGGACGATGTGGCATATTTACTACGCCTGGAAAAATAATGAATATACCTTGCATTGCAATTTTCCCGGTAAGTTTATTCTATCATTTAGATAAGATTGCCGGCATTTTTACAAATATATAGAGGATATTTGTTTAGTTCAGTGTAAGATCGGAATATATTTCACCGAGTTAGCACCAAAAGGTATATTTCACAAGTGGCGCAGCCACGAGTGAAATATGAACTTTTGGTGTTCACAAGGTGAAATATATTATGATCTTACACTAAACTAAACAAATTTTCTTTTTATTACATGCAAATAAACGTTTTAAAAAGACATTAAACCTAATACTGAAATAAAAGCGCGCCAAATAATAATGCAACGTGACGTCATCTACGACGTCACGTCATTAAGTTGGTACCCAGTACTGTGTCCGCTTGTATTTCACTGAAAAAACGTTAGGGGCTTAAGTTAAAAACAGTGAAATTATCAATGTGGTAATTTCACTGTTTCAAACAGTGAAATTACCAGTTTTATATCACTTATATATTTCTATAAACCACCGAAATCTTATGATCTCAATGTCTTATTAGTATGGCAGAAAATCTCCAAAAAAAAAATATTAAAAACAAAACAACAAAACAATCCTTATCTTTTCCATATCTTTATAGAAGCCTTGGTTACAACACCAAGGTATCTTCGTCTTCTGCTTTCAGTTTTAAAGGTAACATATAAACAAGAAATATCATGCATTTGAAACAGTTTTTTTCCCCCTGCTTTCCTTTTTTAAACCGAAAGGTGGTTTTAAAAAAAGGTGTTTTTTTTATACTGGAAATAATAAGCATTTGGGGAAATGTAAAGAATTGCTACTTTTCGTGATTTTTTCAAGGGTTTTTAAAAAAGCATTACATTTGTTTAATATTGACCGGTAAAATTTCATTTTCCTTTCCTCAAAAAAATAAAAATAAATTCATATTTTTGAGAAGAATAAAAAAAATAATTTAAAAAATGAAGAATGACTTTTCTATTTCGAAATTTAAAAGACAAAGGGGATTTTTCTGAAATTATATTAGGGGTTTTCCCTATTTTTACTTTTGACAAAAAAACTTTTGAAGGTGAAACTTAAAACAAAATCAGCTTTCAATTAAACTTTTTGTAAATCACAGTTTACCGAAAGTTATATATTTTTTTATTACCCTTCCAGATTTTTTCCGCCTTTTTGGTTGGTTATTGATCACCCGAAAGAAATTGATATAACCGAGCCAGACGGGTAATATACACACTAAATTTCCCCGTTGGGTACCCCACATTGTAAACAACATGCGCTGAGGTGATGCGTGTACGGTTCGATTTTACGCGGTGTAAATTCCGATTTACAAGCACTTTTTAACTGTCAAATGATAAATATTTACCAAAGTAAAGTAATGATACATATTCTCATCAGTATTGAAACAAATATGACCTTGTGAAAGCTTGATATTAATTACAAAAAATTGCGTTCAATAGACTACTCCTTTTCTCTTGTTTACATTCGTTAGGTACGGGAAAAAATACATCATGTATTTATATGACGTCATGTTGTGATGAAGGGGTACCCTAAAGGGAATCTTATTTCGACGTTTCATTTGAAACAACAATAATTTTTTAAGAAATCGTCTAAACTCGGCAGGGGAGGTAATAAAATTATTATTTTGGTTTTGGAGTGATATATGTGGATATATTACCTGCCAAGATAAAATATCACCCTCGCCTAACGGCTCGGTTGATATAAAATCTTAGCAGGAAATATATCCACATATATCACTCCAAAACCAAAATAACATATAATATATAAGCAAAAACGCTATTTAAATTTGCCGTAGCTTTCGGCCTTGTGGCCTTCCTCAGCAGTTTTATTTCACATACAAATATATCAAACAAAACAATGGAAGTGACGTAAAGTCAATGAACGATATAATGGGGCTGGAAAAGCTATACGGTAATGACCAATACAGAAAAACAATAGAAAATTTGTGGAAAAATAAATTAAGAACCTATAGACCGTATGGAGTAAATACAAAAGAATAACGCGGCAGACGGCAACCAACGCCACGTTCATTGTCGTTACGTCACTTCCATTGTTTTATTTGATATATTTGTATATATATATTTTATACGGCAAGTTAGAGATTAAGAATATATATATATATATATATATATATATATATATATATATATTATATATATATATATATATATATATATATATATATATATATATACACGTAAAAATCATAAATTAAAGCATGTTATGTAATAAAAATTACAGAGAACGCAGGCCTGACAACAAACTGGAGAGAAAAGGGTTTACACTATTCACACACGGAAGGATCATCTAACAAGCTCCTAACGGAATGGAAATCAGAGTATGACAATCTTCCTGACCACGTCCCATACCTTAATCTATCTGGACATGTTATTCACTATTAAGCTGGTATCGTTTATATTTTTCCTGAGTACAAAAGAAACTATATCAATTCCACATTGTACTTAAAGCTTCGTTTGTTTGTTTTTTTTGTTTTTTTTTTTGTTTGTTGTTTTTTTTTTTTTTTGTTTTTTTTTTTCAATTAAAAAAATTCACAAGAATCTTCCGTCAAAGTTCACGTCAAAAATATTGCACATTTGGTGTATAAATTTATAAACTCTACACGCCCCTGATATCAATTTAAACTTATTTTATCTTGTAAATTGAATAATGTATTATTGCTTAAGAATATATTCTCAAATCTTACATTTTTACTTTGCAGCAGTTAAATGAATGTACATATACTGCCTTTATTTATTAATTAATTTATTTCTTTATTTATTTTATACATAAATAAAACATGGCTGTATGCAACCACTCAATAAAAAATATTAAAGACAACATAGAGCTGTTATTTTCATAACATTGACAATCTGTCTTCATAACAATCTTTTTAAACTATCATTGGGGCCTGTTTCATTTAAGTAAAGCTTGATAATCAATAGTCATTTACACCCCCTTAAAACCTTGACACTTAAAAATCACAAAGAACAACATAAGAGTCCAGTACTTTACAGTATTTGAAATAAATAAAAAAATAACCTGTCCATTAAAGGGACTCCACTGAGGTTTGAAAGCCTAAAAACATAGCATTGGATTTTCTTACATAAATGAGCTGGGGCACTTTAAACAGAAATACATACAAAGATAGTTAAGAAATATACTTTGAAATAATTTGAAAATCGCATTTTTATGCTTTTCTTAGCCCGATTTGAGTGAAAAGAGTTTAAACGCTTTTCATTGTGGGTCATTTTTTTACAATTTGGAAAACAAAGTGCGCGAATGATCTGTAATTTTGCGCAAAGATTAGTGGTATGAACCTACATCAAATGGTACAATTATCTGGAAAAAATATTTTCAGTTCCATCATGTCTAAAAAACCTCAGTGGAGCCCCTTTAATCATAAGTGAGTGTTTGTGAAGCAAAAAGACGTATTTTATCTCAAATTTGAAAACATGTACTGGCAGTTGATTAAACTATGATATTGTTTCTTCCTGTAGTAAAGATTTTCATATTTTCATGTGAAAGTTTCAAATCTATCAAATATACCTTTGGTTTTGTTTAAATATTTTTCAGAAAGTGTAGAACTTATCTCTCATTGGATATTTACTTTTATCTTTTACCAGATTCACGTGCATAATTCACGAACACCCTTTAAGAATAGAGTCCAAAATTGTTTACCACGGAAAGAAAGATGTTGTCAATGTTGTAATAGTCTTGATATTGAAGATGAATTCCTTTCGTTCATTTATGTCCTTGAAAAAATAACATTTTTAAATAAAATAACTTTTATATGATATGTTTTAATATCTTCATTCTCGAGAACTGATGCTTATTTTTCACAAAACTACTTCAAACACATCTGCGAATGTTTTTAATTGACGGTAACTTGCATGTTCCATTACGGCCATGAATATGCTCACTGCAACATATTCAAAATATTTGGGCGTTCTTTAGGGATTCCCTTTTTTGTTCTATTTTAATATTGGTAAAATTAGCAAGGCACATCAAGTTATAAATTACAAGCAGTGTAATAAATTTGTAATAACATACTTAAATACACTTTAAAAGTATTTTTTTCTTTATCTGATTTAAATTTTGTTGTATGTTTTGCGAAAATTGAAAGTTAAACGAAAACTTTAAAGTCATACGCGGTGTTATTTTGGGATATATGATCCAATATTATCAATATAACAGATAATAAAGTGTTCTAGAAGTATATGTAATATAAGATCATGTATCTTACAAAAAAAAATACAACATCTATATAAAATCATTTTGTTGTTACATAAGAAACAAAGTTCTATCAAAATCTAATTCATGATACCACAGAACTCTAAAGGAGAAAATATTATTCATTTTTGAGACATAATCTGCATTTTTTTTATGTGTATCATATGACTGGACTGATAAAAATTGTGATTTTAAGTGGATTGGTCTTCAATTATGGCATATCTTTTAAAATATTTCAAAATATTTCAAATATTGATTAAAACAATAGAAATATATCATTATAGATGACAAAAATGTCGTTCACTATTAGTCATGTCATTTTTCTAATTTTGCAATAATTTTGTCCTAGTAAAATTAGAGTAGGGTTCTCATAACTAACATGATTAAAGCATTTAGACTCTTAGGTAAGATTTTTGGAAAATAGAATGTTAATAGAGATCTGAATTTATATGAACATGTTTATGAGGAATAATTATATTTTGTTTTAGAACACTTTATTATCTGCTATATATTTATATGTCATATCGTATCGTATCATGTATCCAACACAAAAAAATCATCCATATTTAACCTGTTTGTAGTTGGTTTTCACGTATGATACGTAATAGAAAGAGCACCGAAACACGAGGCTATCTGATTTGTACGAGGGGGCGTAGCCCCCGAGTATAAATCAGATTGCCGAGTGTTTTGGTGTTCTTTCTCTTTTGTATCATAGTCAAACATGACAGCACGTTCCCTGTTGTCATAATATGAAACCCCAGAAAAAATTAACCAATGAACGAGCATTTGAATATGATAGTTCTGCCCCTTTCCCTTTCTCTGCCGTCACAATATGTAAACCCCGACAAAAATGAACCAATCCACGGGCATTATCTGGAGTGCGGGTAACTGATACCCGCACTCCAGTTACCGCACTGTGCATGTATATGTATACGATTTAACTCTGACACTTTTTCAACAGAAAGGTACCCAAACTATGATACAATAAATATTATAAACATTATTATTTGTGGTATTGCAGATCTTTTATTATAGACCAATTCACATTAAAGAGATAATTACCATTCCAATAAGAACAACATTTATTCTATTTCCATGAACAATGTGTATAAATATCAATATTATACTACTTTCTTAGAGTGAAAATAACTTTCTCGGTACTTCACTACATTAAAGAGAATAATTTAGTTTGGAGTTGACATAAATTAAAATAGCTTGCTATTGCATAGACCAATATCAAAGTTTTAACTTGTCCTTGTCACATTGAATTATATGTTTGAATTTAGCTAAATATTTGAAAGAATCGATTAAAATCTGGAACACCATTGTAAGTACTAACAATTGAATTTTGTTACAAATTTATACTCAAAATTTAAATGATTTCTTGTATCAAATATGTTTTTACTCTACCAAATTGTTTTTAGAAGTGACATTAAATTTTTCTTTAACTATTGTTGCTCACCTTCCATCATTAAATGAAATTCAGTGCTTCATATCAAATTATTCTATATTATTTGTTTACAGTTTGTATATTTATATTGAAGTGATGATGTACTATGTACAAATCAAAAATAAAATTATGTTTTGTTCTGTTCTGTTCTGTTCTGCTCACATTGATTTAATAGAATTTAACGTCTTGGTTTGAAATTTAAAAGCGCAGCACAGTTATATATGCGTTTTTCATGTTCATGGACATCTTGGAAAATTCAAGCTCAAATGACAGAACAGCTCTTTTCTCGCCATTTTTTATCCTTAAAGTTAGGTAGTGCCTGCATGATGTGCCAAAAAGGCGGGTTTCTTTTAATTAAAGTTTAAAGTTGTTATAAAGAAGAATAGTAGTAAACAAAATCAGCGTTATGTTACTGTCGGGATGTCAGAATAGATGTACTCGTATATATGAGAACATGTATATTCCTTTCATGACACTTTGTCATTATTCTGTTGAGCTTTTAAATGGTAAATGTTCATGAAGAAAGTTTCCTTAATTGTTGATAAAACTCAGTCATTGATGTTAAATACAGTAAAATAAAATTTTAGAACTGATAGTGCGTTGAACTTATTATCATATTTATATAGCTTTGATTCGCCCCCTTTTTGTATCCAAACTTTATGATACAAACATATGTATACTGACTTAATGATTTGCATTGAACATACGATAAACACTTCATTATTATTTTTGTAATTTATGTATGTAACAAAACTTCATATAAAACAAACATTCATCTATCTACACCATCTTTTCCAAACAGTATAAAAAATAAATACATTTTTAAAAAAAAGTCTTTGAGTATTTCCATTTATTTTCGGCCAATGGCCAGCGTGAGGTAGTATCTGGCTGGAATAAGCACATGATCGATGAGGTGAATGACGCCATTGGTTGTTCCGATATCAGCCTTGGTCACGTGGGAGTTGGTGTTGATTCGGACTCCAGCTGCAAGAATAATTCATAGAATGAACGTTAATTAATGATAGTCAGATACTTTTCTTGATAATTTATCAAAGGTTGTTATCAGTAGATATGTTGTCATAACGGAAATCCTCTGACAATATTGCTTGGTAAAGCAACATATTGAAATTGAAATGTCAGTCTTTCGAGATATGTATAATTTACTTGCTTTCTATATCCTTTATTTTACTTATTCTTAAATTTGTAAGATAACAATATAATGTCATTTGCTTTAAAATATGTTCAAAAATAATATTAGGTACTTTTACGTACACTTATAGGGATTTGCAGCATTTTATTTGACTTTGTGTAAGACATACAAAAACTAACCTCCATCAAAGTGAATGCTCAATCTGTCATTGTGTCTATCAATAGTTCTCAGGTATTCTCTGTTGAACAGTCCAGCTGAATATTCGGTGTGTGGTACCACGTGATACTCTAACACCTCTGTATCAATAAACAAATCTTTATGTTACACAAGGATACAAAAGACATACGATTCTTCATGATAAACCACACCCGCTTCCCCTTGTTTCCTTTAATGGTTTAGGCATAAGGATATTGCAGCCATGGTTTGCCCCTACGTGATCATATGAGGCAACTAAATGGGTTCGAATAACTGGTGGTGAGGTGGTGTTGACCCCTGGTGTTGCTTTAAAGTTGGTAACACCCGAAGTTAGTCAAAGTTATCTTTCCTGTTTCGGCGTCATATGACCTATTCTGTGTTTGTGCGCTGTAAGACCATAAAAACAAGCACACCCGCCCCCTGTCTTAAGGATTTTTGGTTCTTTAATTCCAAACGCCACACATTTCAAATACGATCTAGACATTGCATTCTGTCAGTTTTATATATCCAGAACATTATCAAGTTCAGCAATTAGCATTTTATTAAAAACCTATAGACTAAACGTAACCGAGATTGACCAAGCAAGATACGTTTTAAAATCTAGAAAATGGGAGACCCCAGTGAAATCCAAAATAGAGAAAATCGCATATACTGTCTGCGTTCGACTTGGTCGTCTTATAGTGTAAATATATTGATCTTCAGGCAATAACGGAATTCATCAATCAATTTTATATTAATCATTTTTAAAGTCTCACCTGTAAGAAGATTTTTATCGTTGGTAAGTTTAGAGACGACGGAGCTGGGTAAGCGTGCAAAAGCATCATTAGTTGGAGCAAATACGGTTAAAGCATCACCTGAAATTAATCACATGAAAACGATATCAGGATCAGCTTAAATCCATTTCATTAAATATCAGATCATCGTTTGCGCTACCCTTCGGAGCGAAGGGTAGTGTAGCATCAGCTAGAATATCATTTTTATGAGATTGGTCTTAAATAAGCCTGTCTCTAAAAATATTCCTTTCGGTGACATATTATTTATCGTAATGGTGGAAAATATGAAAGAATAGTTTTTCAATCAGGAAAGAGCATTTACAAATATTTATAATTCTTTAGAAAATGTTCCAATTTAATTTCCTCTTTGAAATTATCTTATTCTCCATATTTTTACATCAGTGTATCATGAATGCTTAGCATACATTATAAGCATCTATACACGTCAATTTTAGTCAATTTGTCTAATTTCAGAAACAGATAGTTTTATTTTTGTCTTACCTTTCAGGGCATTAGCAATGCCAGCTTGCTGTACCAAACTCAAAAGTGTGCTAACATCAGATGTTTTAGCTACGATATCAACAATGTCACCCTCTGGTGGCATCATTACTTTATTTAGAACATGAATGATTCCATTGGATGCAATCTTATCAAGAGCAATGACCTGAGATCCTTGAACGGTTACAGCCTAAAAATGAAATCATATACGTTTTTTTGAATACAAATATCAATCTATAATACCACATATTGGTTGAATCAGTATTTATTTGTCCAACCAACATAAAAGAGATTTGTTCTCTTTTGATGATCATGAAATCTGGTTCTTATTACGGCATTTGTTATGTGAATCGTCTACGAAAAGTATTAAACATGTATATTTAAATGTATTGATAACAAGTCCGTGTTTTCTTTCCATATATACGTCTAGTTTCAGTTCCTAAAGCGGCATTCCGCATTTCTAAAGGTTATATATGTAAGTTTTTGATAAATCGTTACATATAATTGTCGAATTAAATAGATAAGGTGAAAAATGAAATTTGCCGACCATAATATACATCGGCTCTCTATATTTAAGTAAGTAAAGCGGACGATTCGTTTCCTGATATTTTTAGAATCGAACGTCACTGGCACGTTATAAATAGCTCCCTGTCGCAAATTTGAGGTAGGCTTAACATTGATATGATGCATTTTTTTAAAAAGATAAAATTACTTAAACAACACAAATTTTTTTTCCAAACAGAAAATAAAATCTGGAGGCCGCTTTAAATAAAGGAAGCCCTGGCTAGTTGTTGAAAATGTCATATATCTTTATATACGCATTTTGAAATATTGTCCAAATAATTTAGAAAATTTAAATGTTCAGGAAAATTAAAATTAAAGCATGAAAAAATGACTTACGTTGTTATGATCATAAATGTTAAATCTGACTTTGTCGCCGTTAAGTGTTGTCAATTGTAGTTCATTAGATGCAGCAGAGCTCGGAACTTTTCCTTGGACAACGTGGTATTTCAGTACATCAGCAAGAGCTGTGACGTCATTTCCGAGTGCAGTCAATGTTGCAGCAGGCAGAGCTGAGAAAGCGTCGTTGTTTGGTGCAAAGATTGTAAATTCACCTGAAATATAACATAGACATGTGTGATTTCTTTCGTAATGATGATTGTTATCCCTTTTACTAAAATGTTTTATCTTAGATAGAAGGAAAAAAACACTGTGATTGCAAAATTTCAAAAGAAAAGCAAAGGAAAAAGGAAACAAAACGAAAGTTATATAAATTACTTCATCATCAAAATAAAAAGTAAAGGCAAGTAAAACGTGCAAGCGAAAATTTTTTGAATCTATAAATTATCACAATTCATCTCGGTAGCTTTCAAGAGCTAATTCAAAATAAAATAACGAAAAAAGAAGACTTACCCCCGTTTATTGCATCAACAAGTCCGGCTTTTGTCACTAAGCTAACCAACGTCGACATTTTTGGGTCTGCCACCAGCGTTTCAATTGTCGTAGCCGCCAGGCACTGGCTGATGATAGCGCAAAGAATTACTGCAACCTTCATTTTGCGTTTCGTGTATTGTCTTGTAAGTACAGTATAAGAATGCTAGTGTCCAAATGATGAGAGGGAGCTCTTTTATAGAAGAACCACACATGGCAAACATGTGAGTCTCTTCATTACAAACTATAAAATCACGTTTATCAACGATCTCTCACGTTTCACTGACGGTCATTTTCGGACACTGGTACCGAATCTTTAAGTCTTTACATGGTCAAATTTAGATAACGGAATGTGATATAAGCGCTGCATTTGCACAACGTAGGAATGTCTGACCATCGCGTTTTTTATTGTACTGATAAATTAAAAAGACCCGTGGTTTAAGGCCTATAGTTTGAATAAGTTACTGCTGCATAAATTTCTTATATTATGTTGTGTACATGAAGAAAATAAAGTTGATTTTTGTTTGTTTGTGATAATAAAATGTTATTGTAGAAACGAAGGGATCACCGTTATCAAAAAACGAACGAAAATTACTTACGAATAGGATAAGCTTGAAAGGCAGCTTAATTACAGAGGGAACACACATCATTTTAAATTAAGAAATGAACCTTTGTTTCTAGTTTTTTCCGTTTTTTATTGGGGTTTTTATTGCTTTTTTGTTTGTTTCTTTTTTGTAATCAATTAGATAGATGAAAATATGTACTTTCCATGTATTATCGATTTCATCTATTGAAATTAAACATTCTTGTTTTGCATTTATTTATTGATAGCATCTGTATAAACATTCTATTTTGCTATACTAGAATTGACAAGACAATGTGGGGCTTTAAGAAATGTTGATTATGTTTTGAGTGATAGTGCGTTGATACTCAACAAGGGTTGTTTTATTTTTCGTGTGAGTTTTCATTTATGTAACTATTTTTCTTCTTCTTTTATATAACTGTTAAAATAGTTCCATTTATGTAAGCCTGAATGTTTGAAAGTGTGCAGAATTTAAGCAACGAGTCAAAACGAGAATACGATGAGTCAGTAGTTTTGATATCTACTAACGTCTTCATTGTTTGAATATAAATAAAACGACCTTGGGGGAACTAAATTTGACGCTTAATGTCCTAAATTCTTTAATTTGTCTAGTTTTGATATACAAGTTATTTAGATATAGGTAAGAAAAAGATTAGGTTGTGTATCTTTCTGCTCTATTTGAAAAAAGGGCTTACCCATGACCTCAAGCCTTCAATAATTTGGTGAAAAGTAATCTTATTTATTACTAGTATCCAAAAAGATTGAATGTATAGAAACAAAAAAGAACAAAATTTACAAGCAATAGCATTTTAACAAAATCCCTAAACGTATAACTACAATCTAATGATATTTGCACATATAATGTTTAAATAATGGTTTTAGAGAATGTTAAATGCTTGTTACCAGGAAAAAGTAGCGATAAATGTGAAATAATTTGTCAAAAATTTAGCAAAATGTAAACTAAATAGTATTTTGACTTCCATAACTACAACTGTACATATTGCAAAAAAGCAACAGATAAAAAAGAAGGTTTAGGAAATTGGCAAATGAATAACTTTTTGGAAATTATAAAGGTACACCAAATTAAAAGGTTTTGAGAAATGAAAATAAAAAACATCTCTGAGGCATAATGGGCATTTTAGATAAATTGAAACAAAAATACTATTCACCTTTGGATAAAATGCTACAGTACCGAAAGTTTGTTATGTTATAGTGGAGTATCAGGATATAGTATGTGGTATTGTCATGTACCTTGGAAGAAAATAAAGAGATATATTTTTCTTGCACATCAGACAGGATTATCTACCGTTTACACCGGTGCTAGAAAAACCTAACAACCCCATGTAAGACAAAATAGAGAAAATATGAATCCCTAATGAAAGCCCAACACGGCAAAATTGAAAATGTTGCAGGCTCGGTTTGATTGAGCCTGTTCATGGACGGTACTGTCAAGCGCAAACTACCGTCCACGCCCCCTAGCACCGCCTTAAGCAGAATTCAACATTTAAACATGAAATGGTTAAATTTTGAATTTAGAAACATCCGCAGATGTGGTCATACGACGGTTATCATGCAACCTTCAATATGACACTTCCGTGCCATTACATGAAAAGCGGCGTATGGTGCCCAAGTAATAGAAAGCGTGTGCCCTAAACGATGAGAAAACAAGGTGCAGCACTAAACAAAAATTGAATTTTGAAAGTGGATCAGAGGTTATGAACCCTGCATATCACAGATAAGACGCCAAAAGACAAAGTTAAAAAGCAGGCAACATATCCTAAGGGTGATTCAACATTATTCCAGAAGGAATATTGGAACCACCCAACTAGAAAATGCGAAACAGTTAAAACTAAAAATGCCACAAACAACAATAATGTTGTGCTGAATTATCTTTAGGGATCGGAAATATAACATATCTGGTTAAATGTACGGGGCGATTTTTTACAACCTCTACACGGCACATCTAGCTCTCGGGTAACTGTTAAGAGCCTCGATACCGCCGTAAACAGCTACCTTCGAGCTAAATATTCCGGTCGGTCAATTTAAACATAGTGCTGTGTTTGATACTTTGAACGTGAAGTATTTTACCTTAAAAATGGCCTTGGTCTCGCGTGGTGTAATCAGTTGGGCCGGCGTATTTGGTCTAAAACATTCCATTGTAAATTTGTTATGTCTTGTCTACAAACTCCCATTCAGGTACTTGATCATTTTAGAGGAAACGATTTGGATTCCGCAGCTGTGACCGATGTAATCTTCTAACAAAAAAAATCAAGTTGATTTTGGTGAATATTATGATGTTTTTTTTTCCATAATAAATGCTATTCCATAATACAGGAATACTATTGGTTCATGTATTTACCCAATTTGGTTTGTCGATATTCATATTATGATAAAACAGTTGACAAATCAAGGGTTTGTATAAATCGACACTACCCTTTTTTCGATAACACATTACCATAAACGCATATAGTCGTAAAACAATGCTACTTGTGATAAAATGAATGAGACGATGTACATTTATCACAAGAGAGACTTCCGGTTTGGAAAAAAGTGTAAACACCAAAAATTTTTTTTAAAAAGGAAAGGCTCAAAGGTGTCATCCAAATATTTATTTGTTTTTAATTTTGGTAAAAACAAAATTTTTAAAAAGATTTAAATATTCTCAAATATAAATAATGAAATAAACAAAGTTAAAAATATCGTAAATTTTCATACTAATGGAAAAAAGTTGGCCCTTTCTTTATTAATAAGTTTTTTCCCCGAAATACGTGCGGTTAAAATCCATGTAAGGATGTTCCTTTGGTTTTTTTTAAAAGAAATTTTTCTTTAAAATTTTTATAAATAGTCGTAAACACCCTTTTGAAGAAAAAAGTGTAAACGTTTAAAAAAATAAAAAAATTTTTTATAATTTATTAAAATAAACAATTTAAATTTTAAGTATAAAAGTATTAACGGGTATATTGGTCCAAATTTCGGACACTATTCTGGTAAAAACATTTTTAAAAAGAAATAAAAAATATTCAAGATTCAAATAATGATTTACATGTTATGTGCAATTAATGATTTTTCAGTATCTATATCTATACTTCTACTGCGTTACTAACGCAGTAAGGGCTTTTTTTGTATATTTTGTCCTCTTTTTAGTAATTTACGTGGGTTGAAAATGCCATTGATAATGTGTTAATTGCTTCCTTTTGGTTATTTCACTAAATAACACTTTTAAACACATTTCAAAATTTTCATGAAAATTAGCATGAATCTGGAGGCGTGCTGCTTTAATGGCATATATTTTTTTTTGCCTGATAATTCACATTTCATGAATGCATCGATGTCTAGTCTCTGAAAGTTTATCACTATCTTCAATGATTATTTTACAGATTACTAAGACAAATTCTGAGGATCAAATTATCCTGAATATGTATTCATTGTTTTATGAAAAATAAAAATTGATTTTTCTATTATTTTATAAACATGCTCCCTTAGGTCCACTTTAACTTATCAAGCTGATATTGAATATTTAATATATAAAAATGAACGATAGCGAATATTTAAGTTTTGAATTTTGATCCTGATCTTGATGCTGCTCCTCGATGCCAGGGTTTTACCTGGTGTAGCTGTATGATTGTCTGTTTGTTTGTTTGTTTGTTTGTTTGTTTGGGCTCAACGTTACATTGACACATTCTTTTTTGGGTTGGGTTCCAAATTTTGGTGGATTTAAAGTCGTACCAACTAAGTATATGCCATATTGGTTTTTGGCTTTACTTGTGGAGGTCCGTAAGCTAGCTGGATAGCTTTCACACATGAATGAAACCTAAGTCCCTGTGGGCATTCGAACACACAGCGGTGACGGGCAAGCCATTTAAAATCAACGACCTTTACCAATCGGCCACGGACGCCCCTCTCTGGCTAAATATGATGCAATGCAAAAAGGAACATCAGTATAAAGAAGATAATGTTTCCCCTTTTGACACATTACTTGTCATACCGCACGAAAAATATAATTATTAACATATCAGACCTAAAAATGGTAAGTGAACATGTTACATAGAATGTTATATTATCTTAGAACACAAGTTTATTTCTTTAAAATAGTTGATCAATGTTTTTTGAAGGAACTGAGTCAAAAGGTTCTGAAAGTTAATTTACTAGATAATATCTATCACGAATCGTACAAAATAGAGCATCGTCTCCTGTTAAAAGGTGATATGTTAAAAATTCTAGCGTGTCCATCCGACATCTGAGAAAAATCAAAGCACCGAAGCACTAAAAACAAAACAATGTGATCATGACGGTTCAGGGGAGAAAAAAGTGATGATACGTCAAACATTTTATGCGACTTTTTTCACCATACATATTACGTAATTAAAGATAATTAAGTCACTGATTAAGCTAATAAAAATCCCTGACACGGTTCCCTCCGTAAATGAATCCCCTTTCATGTGCTTTAAACCGCATGTAAATTGCTTGATTATTAAAAAAGTTATGCCTATTCAAAGTTAGTCCGACCCGCATCAAATGAAGTGTCATAAATCGGCTGTTCTCTCTCAGACCCCTGCGTTTCACGCGAAATTAGTGCATAACACGCAAATATCGCACCAAAGGGGGTCACAAGTTGCGGTAACATACTCTAACAACTTTTTATGACCCAGTGACATCTGACCAATTAAATATCTGCTGATTATTATCATTTTATTCCGCAACAAGGAAAGTCCACGAATTTTTGGAGAACCCTTCGTTTATACAAAAAGTTTCAGTTCTTAAAGTGGTCTTCAGCTTTTCTTAAGGTTAATTATGTAATTATAACGTGTGCTGATGTATTTGGTCCGAACTACATAAATACCCAACTACTAGTTTGTAATTCAAATACAACGTATCCTGATGTATTTGGCCCGAACTACAAGATGAAAACCGAACTACTAGCTTGTAATTTAAATATCATGTATGCTTATGTATTTGTCCGAACTACAAGCTGAATACCCAACTATTAGCTTGTAATTCAAATATAATGTATGCTGATATATTTGTCCGAACTACAAGATGAATATCCAATTACATCTTGTAATTCAAATATAGTGTATGCTGATGTATTTGGTCAGAACTACAAGATGAATACCCAACTACTAGCTTGTAATTTAAATATAATGATAACTGATGTACTTGTCTGAACTACAATATGAATACCCTACTACTAGCTTGTAATTCAAATATAGTGTAAACTGTTGTATTTGGTCTGAACTACAAGATGCATATCCAACTACTAGCTTGTGATTCGAATAAATGTATGCTGATGTATTTGTCCGAACTACAAGATAAATACCCAACTACTAGCTTGTTATTCAAATATAATGTATGCTGATGTATTTGTCGGAACTACAAGATAAATACCCAACTACTAGCTTGTAATTTATATATCATGTTTGCTTATGTATTTGTCCGAACTACAAGATGAATACCCAACTACAACCTTGTAATTCAAATATAACGTATGCTGATGAACTACAAGATGAATACCCAACTACAAGCTTGTAATTCAAATATTGTGTATGCTGGTGCAGTTAGGGTGAACTACATGCTGAATACCGATATACAAGCTTGTAATTGGCGAACTACAAGTTAAATTACGATGTACAATGTACAAGCCGATCTACAAGCTAAATACCCACTTACAAGCTTGCAATTGGCGAACTACAAGTTGAATAATTATGTACA